TATGATTTTATATGAAGAAGAAAAGCTTGAAAATCCTCTATACTGGAAAGGGTGCCCGGTGAAAAATGATGATCCTTCCTAAAAATGTTCTAACACTCTTGCATTCCCTTGAAATTGATTTAACACCCAGGGAAAAGCTGCAGCACACAAAACACTGTCAGGAGATAAGAATTCAGCCAAAAATCAGTAATATTTATTGCGCAGATTTAGTTTGCATTTTATTCTCTTACTCGGTCAAGTTTGAGTGGGGCAGAGGTAATTATTCATCAGCAGAAGAAATTCAAATTCTGTGCAGAGTTTGAGGTGGTGAGTACTGTATGACATTGGACAAGGTACCTTTCCTGAGCCTCATTTTTCCTCATCTGTAAAACTGGGCTAATAAGGGTCCTTACCTTCGTAGGGCTCTTAATTAAAGAGGAATGCGGAGCAAAGTATTAGCACAGTATGTGGCATGTATATAAGTTTAATAACTGTCAGTTACTAAACTGAACAGGCAATTTTCTGGGTGTCTTTAGGACTACTGAAAATCATTGAAAAGCTACCACAATGATAATTTAACATTTTATTTTTTACTCTTTCTTTAGGTAAAGATTTTCAAACAGTGAAACTACAAATTTTAAGTCCATTTGGTAAGTTTTGAGAAAAGTATATACCTATCTAACCCAAGTGCCTATCCAGATACAGAATGCTTCCATCGTCTCAGATAGGTCCCTCAGGCTACTTCCAAGTTATACTCAGCCTCACCCTCAACCCCAGCCCCCTGAAGCACCCACTATAATCTTTTTCACCATAAATTAGTTTTGCCTGTTCTGGAACTTCATAGAAATGGAATCATACAGTATTTAGTCCTTTTGTATAAAGCTCTTTTCTTCAGTTTTATTTTTTTATGTCTCCTCACTGATTTTTTTTAAAATTTTTGTTGAAATATAGTTGATTTACAATGTTGTGTTCGTTTCAGGTATACAGCAGAGTGATACATTCTCTTCCATTATAGGTTATTACAGAATACTGAGTAGAGTTCCCTGTACTATACAGTAGGTCCTTGTTGATTATCTATTTTATATTTAGTAGTGTGTATATTTTAATCCCAAACTCCTAATTTATCTCCCCCCCTTCCCCTTTGGTAACCATAAGTTTGTTTTCTATGTCTGTGAGTCTTTCTGTTTTATAAATAAGTTTATTTGTATCAGTTTTTTAGATTCCCCATATAAGCAGTATCATATATTTGTCTTTGTCTGGCTTGCTTCACTTAGTATGGTAATCTCTAGGTCCATCCATGTTGCTGCAAATGGCATTCTTTTTAATGGCTGAGTAATATTCCATTGTGCATATGTACCACATCTTCATTATCCATTCACCCGTCGATGGACATTTAGGTTGCTTCCATATCTTGGCTATTGTAAATCATGCTGCAGTGAATGAACACTGAGGTGCATGTACCTTTTCGAATTATGGTTTTCTCTGGATATATGCCCAGGAGTGGGATTGCAGGATCATATGGTAGCTCTACTTTTAGTTTTTTAAGGAACCTCCATACTGTTCTCCATAGTGGCTGTATCAATTTACTTTCCCACCAGTAGTGCAAGAGGGTTCCCTTTTCTCCACACCCTCTCCAGCATTTGTTATTTGTAGACTTTTTGATGGCCATTCTGACTGTTGTGAGGTGATACCTCATTGTAGTTTTGATTTGAATTTCTCTAATTAGCGATGTTGAGCATCTTTTCACATGCCTTTTGGCCATCTGTATGTCTTGTTTGGAAAAGTCTTTTTAGATCTTCTGCCCATTTTTTAATTGGGTTGTTTGGGGGGTTTTTTTTGATATTGAGCTGTTATGTTTGTATATTTTGGAAATTAACCCCTTTTCAGTTGCATCGTTTGCAAATACTTTCTCCCATTCTGTAGTTTGTCTTTTTGTTTTGTTTATGGTTTCCTTTGCTGTTTGGAAGCTTTTAAGTTTAATTAGGTCCCATTTGTTTATTTTTGTTTTTATTTCCATTACTCTAGGAGGTGGATCAAAAAAGATCTTGCTGTGATTTATGTCAAAGAGTGCTCTGCTTATGTTTTCCTCTAGGAGTTTTATAGTATCCAGTCTTACATTTAGGTCTTTAATCCATTTTGAGTTTATTTTTGTTGTGTTAGAGGATGTTCTAATTTCACTCTTTCACATGTAGCTGTCCAGTTTTCCCAGCACCACTTATCGAAGAGACTTTCTTTTCTCCATTGTATATTCTTGCCTCCTTTGTGGTAGATTAATTGATCATAAGTGCATGGGTTTATTTCTGGGCCTTCTATCCTGGTCCATTCATCTATATTTATGTTTTTGTGCCAGTACCATACTGTTTTAATTACTGTAGCTGTAAAAACCCTTTTCGTTCAGCACAATGTTTTTGAGATTATGTTGTTGCATGTAGTTTGTTGCCTTTTGTGGCTAAATAGTATTCCACTGTGAATATGGTGTTTCCGTTTGGGGCTTTTATGAATAATGTTATCAACAAGTCTGTGTGGGCATTTTCCTTCCTCTTGGGTAATACATGGGAGTAGAATTGCTGGGAAGAATGTGTATCATGAGATAAGTGACAGACCTTTCTCCAAAGCGGATGGCCCATTTTACACTCCCACCAATGATGCATGACAGTTCTGGTTGCTTCTTGTTCTTGCCAGTATTTAGAGTTGTCATTGTTTAATTTTAGCCATTTTGATGTGTACACAGGGGTATGTCATTGTGGTTTTATTTTGCGTTTCCTTGATGATGGACAATGAGCACGTTGTCACATGCTTACTGGCCTTTCATGTATCTTTGTGAGGTGTCCAAATTTTTTGCCCATTTTTTTTTTCATTTGGTTTGTGTATGTTGTTGTTTGGGTTATTAGTTTTTATATTATTGAGTTGTAGGAGTTTTTTATATTTTCTGGATATCAGTCCTTTGTCAGATGTATCTTGTGAATATATTCTCAATCTGTAGATTGACTTTCATTTTCTTCATGGCATAATGGGAAGTTCTTGATCCTGTTTTTTAAAAATTTTTGTAAGACTGGATTTAATAGAATTCACTGGTGAAATCATCTGAGCCAAGAGTTTGCTTAGGGTAGCATTTGATTTATAGATTCAATTCCTTTGATTGGACCTATGAAGCCTTTACATTTCATCTTGTTTCAGTGTGGGTATGTTGCATTTTTCAAAGATTTCGTATATTACATCCAAGTTGTTTTATTATCATAAAATTTTTCATAACATTCCTTTATCTTTTCCATGTTGTACAGGACCTGTAATGCTATCCCCTCTTTCATTCCTGATATTGGTAATTTGTCTCCTCTTTTGTCCCTTCATCAGTTTAGCTAGGGATTTGTCCGTTTTTGTGCATGTGTGTTTTTTCATAGAACTTTCAGCTTCTTAGATTTTTCTGTAATATTTTCTGCACTTTGGGTTTATTTTGCTTTTTTTTAGCTTAAGGTAGAAACCTTTATCAGTGATTTTCTTTCATTTGTTCTAATAGAAGCATTTATAGCTCTAAGTTTCCTTATAAGCACAGCTCTTAACTGAACCCTACAAATTTTGTTTTCATTATTCAGTTCAAAATATTTTCTAATTTCTCTTTTGATTTCTTCCTTATTACAAGTATGTGTGTTTAATTTCCAAATATGTAGGTTTTCTAGATATCATTATTAATTTCTAATACAATTTCATTGTGTATAGAGAACATATTCTGGAAATTTCAATCTGTTGACTTTTGAGACTTATTTTATGGCCCAGTATTTGGTCTGTTTTGCTAAATGTATTATGTGCACTTGCAAAGAATGTATTTTCTACAGTTACTGCTTGTAGTGTTCTATAAATGTCAACAGAAATTGACAAGCTGGCCAATATGTCCTTTTACACTTTTTGTCTAATTCTATCAATTGCTGAAAGAAAAAGTGCTAACATATCCAACTATGATCGTGGATTAAATTCTATCAATTTTTACTTGATGTACTGTGAAGTAATGTTAGTTGCGTACATATTTATGGTTTTCTACTGAATTGACTGTTTATCATTATGAAATGCCCCCCTTTATTTCTGGTAACACCCCTCATTTTGAAGCCTACTTTATCTAACATTAATATAGTATCAGGCTTTTTTTATCCTTTGTGTTTTTTTGTTTGTTTGTTTGTTTTGCGGTACGCGGGCCTCTCACTGCTGTGGCCTCTCCCGTTGCGGAGCACAGGCTCTGGACGCGCAGGCTCAGCGGCCATGGCTCACGGGCCCAGCCACTCCACAGCATGTGGGCTCCCCCCGGACCGGGGCACAAACGCCTGTCCCCTGCATTGGCAGGTGGACTCTCAACCACCGTGCCACCAGGTAAGCCCCTCTGTGCTTTTCAACTGACATGTTTAGTCCACTTACATTTTTAAGTCTAATTACATTTTGATGTAGTTATTGACATGACTGGATTTACATTTAACATTTTGCTATTTATTTTCTCCTTGTTCCATCTGTTTTTTTACCCCCCTCTCTACTGTCTTTTTATTGGGTTGGCCAAAAAGTTCCTTTGGTTTTTAAGTAAAAAGATGGATTTTTCATTTTCACCAAGAACTTTATTGAACAACATAGTCACCACCAAGAACTTTATTGAACAACATAGTCACCATTTTCTTCCACTACCTTCTGCCATTTTTCAGGCAACTTCATAATTCCATCTTCCCAAAACTTTTTATCTTTTTGAGTAAAGAACTGTTCCAGGTGCCTTTTACAGTCTTCCAGCTAAGGGCTACTAGAGCTATCTTACAGAAAAAAAAACTTTCTGGCCAACCCAATAGCTGTGCTTCTTTGCATCTTTTTAATGGTTACTCTAGGGATTATAATATAATATACAGCCTTAACTTTTCACAAACTATTTAGGATTAGTTTTGTACCATATCATGTGAAATATAAAAACCTTTCATCCATAAGTTTCCATATACCCCCTTGTCCTTTAGTTATAATGTTATAATTTTTACTTGGAACAGTTATGTGTATTTTTTTTAAATTAAACCAAGATAGTATTTTACATTTACCCACTGGTTTATATTTGTTGTCTGTGGGAGGATTGGTCCATTGTGAGCTACTCTCTATTAATTATCAGACAATAGGGATTTTTCCTTAAGAACAAAATGATCATTGTAATCATACACTCCAAAATTTTACTTTGTTTTGTACTAATATTATTCAGTAAGAAGAACACTTTTCCCGTTGCTAGTTCATACTTCCGCTTTCTTGCCTCTAATTTGAGCCATCTAAAACCATGTCTGTATCTGTAACTGTGTACTTGGTCTCATTTTTCTAATTGTCATGTAATTTTCCTGTGATGACATGAGCAACTCCCATACTAGGAATTAGAATAGCTCCTTTCTCAACAGAGTGAATGAGAGACTGCAAATCCACAAGCCCCAAAGACTGGGCAGGTACAAGGTTCTTTCAAAAAGTTTTTTTTTGTGATCCCTCATTTTTATACCTGAATAACTTTCCCCAAAGGGATGATATATAATCTTTAAGTATCTATAAATATAATGTATTGATAACATCTGGTCAGTGGTATCATTGATTGTCAAATAAAAATTCCTCAGTTAAGCAGCGCTTCCTTTTTGTTAAATCCTTGGTGCTGACACCAGACCAGCCCTTTACTTCTTTTCATCCTGACACGGTCTGGCTCTACACTCTGACCTCTCAAGAACAAGATACAGGGACTTGTTCTGGATGCTCTTGGGCAAGTGCAGCTGGGATACTCAGTAGCCTGGGCCTCAATTTAAAGAGCTTGTTTCATCATTTTTTTTTTTCTTTTAGACTATCAGAGCTGGATTATCAATCAAAGATTTGTGTTTGCTTCAGTGGCTGATATACCACACAGCCCAAGGATCAGCTCAGCTAAGACAAGGCTTTGTCATGACAGGACTGCTGCGCGGAGGTCTGTCTCAGACTTTCCTTCCACAAAGGAAGGGGTCCGCCAGCCAAGAGAAAGTCCTTTCCAACACAGATAGCATCACATGCCCTGCTGGCTCCTGGAACTACATACATAGAGCCGAAGCCTTGCTCTCAATTCTTCGGGAACCTGTCTGGGCCATCTTCTCGCTCGTTTCTGGCTGACGGGGCAGCAGGGGCTGCACAGGCCTCAGCCTCCTCGTGATCATCGTAACACGTTCTGCGTTCCAGCTCCTGATGCCCAGGGAATGTGCTGGCCTCCGTGCTGCCTGTGTCACGGGACATTTCCTAATCTGGAACATCCTCGCCCAAGAAACCCCAACTCTCGGCTCATCCTACACCTATTTTTCTCTTATTTGTGCTGATGCTTCAGTTGGTTGCGCTTCCACCGTGGGCTCTGGCTCCAGAGGAAGAGATGGTGGCTTTGTGAGCTGGGATGTTCCTCCGACACCTAGTAACAAAACAAACAGCTTGAATTCTCAGTTCCATGGTTCCAGAAGAAATCAATATTTTCACTGTCAAGTTTCAAGAAAAAAACCCATATTTTCTGAGACTAGTGGGACTGTGGCATATCTGGGCAGCTGTGAAGGAAGACCATAACTGAAGAAATAAAGCAACAGTCAAGTGTGCCTTCAGTGACCTTATAAAAGAAATGTTTAATTAGCTGCACCATGCTGACTTATAATAAGGCAGTGAGAATTAAAGTGAGACTACATAACGAAAGGTGCTGCAATGTATTTCTAAACCTGAATATTGTAAAGACCCAGTGTACCGACATCCAGCTAAGCCTGCCAGTAGCTGTTAACTTTTACACAAATTGCCTTAAGGAAACAAGTGACAGTTCGGCCACCCTTGGGCTTTTTCCCCCTTCTAGGCAGCACTACGTTGGATGTGTCCTGAGTCCGAAAAGCACAAGCCTCATTCCAAGCTATAATCTCTTTGCAGGCACATGTGGCTTGTACCCACAGGTTTTCATATAGCTGTGTGTAGCTTCCTACCTGAGGGGAGCTTCCTATACGCGGCTGCTGAAGACATTGCCTGTCCTAGAGCTTGATTAGAACCCAGAGGCTGCTGGAAACTGGCGGCTTTACTGGTTGAAGTGGTCCGCTGCTTTGATTTGGGATCTTTAACTGGTTTAGTCCAGACCAGTGCCTCCCCGACCTGGAGAGCAGCTCCCAACTTCTGGGCCATCTCCACCATCTTGTGCCCAAGTGGGAAGGAAAAAAAAAAAGAGTCACAGGGCTGACCGGCAGAGACAAGCCTCATCCCAGGTCTTCAGCAGGCAGGTGGGGATTAGCTGAAATAGTGTCTGCTGTACTAGCATTTGAGGGAGGAAACACTTACTGCAAAGAAATCATTCTCAAACAGCAGAGACCACATTGCCCTGAGTGGATGGCAAGGGAGTTCTTTAAAGGCTCTCAAACCCAACAATTCAAGTTTGGTGCATTGTTGGACTAAATTCCTGCCTTTCCTATGTGAGGAGAATGGGAGGAAGCTACAAAGAGACATAATACAACTCATTTGAGCTGAGGTCTATCAATACTGGATATAACTCAGTAAGCCTGAATTTCCTCTTATTATTTTTGTCCAGGAAAGTTTCTTCTCAAGCTGTTCTTAATTGAAGAATTCATGCCACTAGGAATGTGTAAGCCAAAACAGGCATGAGCCTATATAACACCTTATATTTGGGTTATTTGGGCTTGATTCAAAAGTCTCTTGACAGCTTGCTTATGACTCCTAGGAGCTAAGGCTTACCTCCGGGTCAAATTCCAGGGAGCTGCTGTCCTTGAGTAGGTTGACTTTCTTCTCCATCTCCTGGTACTGGGCCAGGGCGCCCCTCTCCTCTCCCTGGTTGTACAGCAGCACAGCATAGTTCAGGTTTACCAAAGGGTTACACCTGTGCAAACAGACAGCAATTCTTATGGAGCTGGGGCTTCGCAACACATGGTCACTTAGAGATCCTTCTCACTGCACAAAAATAAAACTGGCTAAGTACAGACAGCTCCACTCCACAGCAAGGTGGGGCACACACGTGTTGTGTGGACCTTTGGAGAAGAATCAGGGAATTAACTTCCCAACCAGCAAAGCAGGTACTGGGACCAAGCCTGACATCTCAGCCCTCAAAAGAGACGAAAAACAGGTCCCTACCCTGCTGCCTAACAGAGGCCAATGGAATAAATCCCAGGAGAGTCAAGTTTATCTTAAATTAAACTGAGCCCAGAGTCCCATGTGACATTCCAGCGAGCCCACAGCTATCAACAGCCCAAGCCCACTGCCAGCTCTCACTTTCTCTGGCCTCCTGACTACTAAGGGCTGGAAACGTTTTCTCAGAAAGAGTCAGCATCGGGTCCTGCCGAGCCACTCTGTGCTCAGAGCCACGTCCTGCAGCACAGAGGCCCGGGGAGCGAGCAGCTGGGCTGGCTCGGCAACGCCGGGGCCGTGGCGCCACCTCGCGGCTCTGCGGCGCCCAGCCCTCCCAGCGGCGTTCCCGACAGGGCGGCTTACTTATCCAGGCGGACTGCTTCTGTGTAGGCTCTCCTGGCATTCTCTGTGTCTTCCAGGTTGGTCAGAGCCACTGCAACAAAGAGAGTGAGTGCAGTGGCTGAAGAGCCCAGCGGAGAAAACACAGGCAATGTTTCAAGACGGCAGTTCATTCAGCCGCCAAACCTAACTAACTCCTGCTGTGCCCGCCCAGCTCCTGGCACCACCGTCTGCACAGCCACTCAGCTTGGATTCCAGGTATCATCTTGTTCAACGGTCCCCTCTCCACAGTTAGTCAGCGGCTGGGTTCCATGAATTCCATTTTTTACAGCTTCTTTGGTGACACTGCCCTGGTTTAGTCACGTCAGGCCTTCCGTTTTGTTCCCCAAGGGCACTGTCCCGCTTGCCACAGTGCAGGCTGCCAGGTATCTCGCTGACTGAGACAAATCTGACCGCGTCACTGGCCTACTCAGGAATACTCACATGCTCACTGCTCTCCAGCACCCATAACCGTACCTTTAAACTTTTGTTTAGCAACAGAACACTCTCCCTTTTTAAATCAGTACTTTCTGAAAGCCTGACCTATAACCCAAACAACAGCAGAGCTGCTCTGGAAGCCCTGCCCACTCCACCTCCCCAGCTGTTCATCTACTTCTACTAGACACAAGAGGAGATCCACGAACACAGCTGGGAAAAACAGAGCCTCTGGGATCAAGTGTACAGTCCCTGTGCTGTACTCAATGGTCCTCCATACTCTGACGCCAGACTACCTCTCCTGACTCATCTCCCACCACGTTCTACAACACTATTGCCCATAATGGCCTGGTACCTCTTGCAGTTTCATGGCTGCATGCCTTTACTCAGGGACTTCTCAGCCATTCTGTACTACTGAATTCCAGCTTATCTTTTCACAGCTCACTGTGAAGATCATCTCTACTTTGCGAAGTTAGAATTGCTGCTTATGCCATACGGTACAGCTATTTGTTTACATTCCTGTATCCCATTATGACTGGGCTATCTTTGTATTCAGACAGCCCCCAAGTAACCACCACTCAATTTGTTTTTGCAACCTTTCTCTTATAAATCAGAACCTCACAGTAATGACCAAAACACACAAACAAACAAACAAAAAAACCAAAAAGACACCTGAAGACTACTGTCAATGAGAACATGGAAACTGCTTTTAGGTATACATTTCTTAACTTTAGTATACGGAGAAGTATCCTCCAGAAAGAATATTTAGTATAAGGAGAAGAATCCCCCAGAAAGAATATTTAGTCAGTACTTTTATACTGTAGAGCAACAACAGTAATAGACTAATTATATAATGACAACAAAACCAGCAGTTAACATTCATTGTGTCTAATCATGTAATCCTTTCATCAACCCTATGAGATATAGCTAGTAAGTAGTAGAGGCAGGACCCTACCTAAAGCCCAAGATCTTAACACCTGCTGATAACTGGAGCTTGGCTGGATTCAATAGATGAACTGTCATGGGAAAACCACTGTTAAAACATGAACTAGAGACGAACCTGATTGAACCTGCTGGTCTCTGAGTGAAATTCCCCTAAGTGAGAAGCAACAAGGTGCTTTGTCATCTTTTTCTTTCATATTTCTTCAAACTCCAGGACAGTAATCCAGATTCCTATGGGATCTGCAAGGGAATGGCTTCTATGGGACATTTAACCACTGGCCTCCTATGATTCTAATTCATTTTTCCCTGAGTACAGACTGCGAAAGGGGTTCTTCACACAAATGTCTCTTACCAGCCAAGAGCATGTAGAGCTCCCCCATCTTTGGCTGGAAGTTGATGGCTGCACTGAGAAAATGGAAGGCTGATGCATACTGCTGCATAGTCAAGTGGACGAGGCCCAGATTATACAGAATCTTCCAGTCGAAGGGTGCCAAGTAGTTGGCTCGTTTCAGGCAGCTGATAGCCTGGAGGAGAGAGCAGGCACTCGGTGAGAGGCTGGGGCAAGCTGGCAGAACCAGCAACTGAACACAAACCAAGAAAATGAGGAGACACTCACTGCCACGTATTTCTTCTTGCCAAAGAAACACATCCCAATGTTATTCCAGAGTGGAGGACTTTCTGGAACAGCACAAGCTACAATTCTGTATTTGGTGAGGGCAACATCAAAGTCCCCATGGGTCTGCATCATGCTGCCTGCTGCCAAGATGGCCTGAAAACATGGGATATGGAAAGTTGGTAATTCAGTCATTCCCAAAAGGCTGTTGCAGTGAAGTAGCCTTCCTGAGTGTAGATACTCAGCAGGCCCATCAGCACTGGTGGGACTGAAAAGCTTCTTCCAGGGACCTATATACTATATCCAAGCTATTGGAACAGACGCTCATGAAGAACACTCCCGCACCCCACGCTGGCTCTCTTCGGCATAATACAGAAAAGTCACTGACTTTACCCAGCTTATTTCTTTCCTACTGGTGGCCAGGGAAGTCACTATTTCAGAGTATCAGGGCCCTGTAAGTAAAAAGCACCTTTAACCTGTTCCCTACAGCCCCTACTTGGTACACCAAGTGCTCTAGACAACTCAGGTGCACCTGTCTTTGGCCACTAAGGTGCAGCTCCTTCTGCCACAGGGCAGAGGGTGAGTCAGCCTTAGGCTTCACTGATCAAGCTTTTCATGTCTCTAAGGAAAAGGGTTAAGGTGGGGTGCTACGTCAGGCTACTACGACTTCCAAGATAGGACTGAGTCTGTACTGTTAACAGCCGGTTTTGCTGCATCTCCCTCAGTGATGCATATCCACATGATGATCTCCTCCTCCCCAAAGTCGTATCTGGACAAGAGTTGTAATCTCAGATTCATCAGGAATCGAGTCATTTCAGCAGATTTATTTCTGACAGTAGTTATAGAGGCTCTGCCAACTTCCTAAGTAACATATAAAACTTTACCAGCACTACAGTTTTGCTTTCTGCATAAGTTAACAGGCCCAATATAACAAATGTGCTCTTTTAGAAGATAAGAAGCAGAGCACTGACACTTTACAGTATTTTCAAATGAGAGCCACATTTATTTATAACTTTTCTAAGGAAAAAGTACTTTCTCAGATATACAGAACGCTTTCTAGGGCCAGATCACCTCTAAGAGTGGTGGGACCATCTGTGTGAAGGCTCTGGGGTTTGACAGCCTGCAGTACCTTGTAGTTGGTGGGGTCGTAAGTCAGTGCATTTCCAAGATGTTCAAATGCCTTCTGGTAAATGCCAAGCTGGGAAAAAGCAAAAGCCAGAGAATTACACTGGGGGGACGGTAGTTAAGGAGACTGGCCAAGCACACCCTCATCGGACACACCCTGACTTTTCCGGGTTCTTCGGACAGAAAAAGAGCTACAGATACCGGATTCTTAAAAGAGGAAATTAAGATCCCCACGTTTGTTTTCCCTTCTGTTTTGTTGATTTGTCCCCTGATAAGGTCAGAGTAGCTGTTTGCCAGGAACAGCCTCTGCCACACTAGCGCTGTTCCACCCAAGCCCTCTTGGCAGGAAATGGGCTGGTTCACCGCATCTCCCCTGGGGCCAGCCTCCCAAGCCAGAGCCCAGGAAGGCCCAGGGTCAAGCTCCTTTGAAAGAAAACTGAAACAAACGAAAAGGCCACCACAAAGGCAGGGTTGGAGGCAGAATCAGCTAAGAGGGGAACCTGGGGCTTCGATGGGGTGTGTGGGGCAGGGAGAAGCCCTGAGGGATCCCTGGGTCCCAGGGCCTCAGGCAGACACAGAACAGCGATGGGGCCAAGAGAATCCCACCCACACTCGGGAATGTGGAGGGGAGAGGAGACTTTTTATTCTAGACAATGCTTTGCCTTCTCTCTTTTCTAGAGGACGTGGCTGGGAAGAAGGAACAACAGGAATGGCCTCTGCCCCAAAGCCCTAGCGGTACCACAGCTTCTCCTCCCACCACAAAATGCCAGCCCCTCTGACCCCAGTTACTTCTCGTATGTGTTCTTGCCTTGGTTGGATAAGAACTGTAATTGCACTAGGCTCAGATTTATTTGCTTCTGATTTGAATGCTGAAAATTAATTCCTTTAGCAGACAAAGAATATCAAATGCAGAGAGTAAAGTTCATGTCCTTCTTATGACCTTTAGTAAGTTGTGTTAAAGTAAAAATGCAGGAAAACCACAACACACACAAACCCAAAAACACTTCCAACGTCAATGCATGGATGAGCAAAGAATTCCTCTTACCTGGAGGTAGAGTAATCCTAAAGTTGTGAGAAGTTCTGTATTTTCTGGTGAGAACCTGCAACACAGAGATGCTCAGAGGGAAACAAGATGTGTATGAGAGACACTAAGATACACACATAGTAACTCACCCTTGTGCACTACCTGAGACACCACTGTGCCTCCCACTCCCCATAGGAACTCTCAAAGGGATTTAGGAATTTCCTTCCAAAGTAGGTCACCTCAACCCTAGCTACAGGGAGGATTGCTCAGCAAGAAAGAATGGGACTTGGGGGCTTCCTTGGTGGCACAGTGGTTGAGAGTCCACCTGCCGATGCAGAGGACACGGGTTCATGTCCTGGTCCAGGAAGATCCCACATGCCGCGGAGCGGCTGGGCCCGTGAGCCATGGCGCTGAGCCTGCGTGTCCAGAGCCTGTGCTCCGCAACGGGAGAGGCCACAACAGTGAGAGGCCCGCGTACCGCAAAAAAAAAAGAATGGGACTTGGAACCCAGACTCCTTTCGCAGGACCTTTTCTTAGGGCCAAAGTCCTTAGAAAGAACCTGTGGAATATTTTGTGCCACTGTCTTGATTACACTGATAGAATTCAAGAATAATGCCCTGTAAACCAAGTCAGTCTAGAACACACACAGTTTCAGCCCTTTCCCTCTTGTGAGATTTTTTTTTTCCTGTTCTCACTGCGCTCAATGCCAGCCAGCATAATTTCCCGCGTAAGTTAGGACCCCAAGGCCCCTAACCCTCTGCTCTCCACATTAAACAAAAAGCCATACTAAACAGCCAAACTAAAGAAGGAAGACACACACCCGCTCTAGGAAAGAATTAGCTGTTGGCGTTGTGGAGTAAACACCGGCTTAAGTAAAAGATTATCTGCCTTTCCAATCCCTCAATGACATTTGTCTTTGTCACAAAACGAAAGCAACACTGAGCTCACATGATCTAACTACAGGATCACCAGACAGCTTCAACAGTGAAAATGACAGAAGGTGAAGAACAGTGTCTCCTGTTTCTAAGGAATGAGGTAGGGTGCTGGTTACCTATGGGGAGACCAGAACCACAGGGGCCAAAGCCCCAGCCTGGGGAGGCCTGAGCTGGCCAGACAGAGCTTACTCAGTTCAACTGAGTATTCACCCTTCACTTTCTGCCATAAATACCCATCCTAATCACTTCCTCCCCCAAAGCAAGTAAGTAACTTCCATGATTCTGGTGGGTGTCCATCCCCCCACCAAAACATGACTACTGTCTCCAAAGCTGCGGGTCATAAACAATGGTTTCTATAATCTCAGTGAGGCTCCAAATGCTCAGCTGACCTGTTTTCTCCTTTGAGAATTTCAGTGACTTAAGTCCTTGACCAGCCACTAGAAGAATGTGTGAGCTAATTAATTTATGTGAGCTAATAAGCTCGAAGAGCCAACTTACAGAATGCAGGGGTCAGGGATTAAAGCTTCCACCCAGCACCAAAGAGACTTTAACATACGCTACATGGCTTCCTTCCTACTTGTCCATATAAACTTAGCCTTTTGATGACAGAAGTCTCTTTTGTAGCTTAAACCAAAGGATTTTTATGTCTTTTCAGATATAAAATATGGTTGAAGGAAATTCCAAAAGCAGTGTTGTGACTAATATAACCAGAAAAGTTACTATCATGGTAGAAGACAAAGGTAATTAACAAATTAATAGAAATCTACGTTTAGTTCAAAGTCTAATTATCAGGAGTAACAGACTTTGTGGCCTTAAACCACAGATGAGGCATTCTATTAACTGACCTAACAAATGAGACACTACAGCATTTTGCTACAGCTCTCCCACTTAAACACAAGACCCCAGACAGAAAAGACAAGATAGCACGTGGCCCTAGAAAAGAAACGCAGAACAACACCACACTGGGAAAGCCAGTCAGTTACATTTTCAAGGGGGGTTTGGCTGACCCTGATGATATTTTTCAAAAGCATGATATTGGTCTCAAGCTAATAAGGCCAGATCTTTATTACTCAATCAGGAGATTTCTCTCCCTAATATCCTGAAACACAAGATCTTTTATGAAGTTTAAAACCACAATGGCAGACTGCCAGCTGACTCCAAAATCTGCTCTCTCCTTCCTCCTAAGCACATCTGCCCACCTCCCTTGCAGCTAGATGTGGCCACCTCACTAATTTCGAACCACAGAATGTCAGCAGGAATGATGTGTGCAACTTCCTATTTATTCAGTACTTAGCTTCCTATACCACCTCCCCCAACCTCAGCCTGGAGCACAGATGCTACAGTAAGTTAGCTGCAACCATGCAGGTGAAGGCAACAACCTAAGGAATGATGAGGAAGGAACATGGAAGGAACCTGGATCCCAGATTGATCTTGTGGAGCAAAGCTGCCCAGCTAGGCTAGACCAGCCACACTGATGGGTGAGAAAGAAACATGTCTGTCTTCCTTATTTAAACAATCGGGAGCTCTAAACCTTAGCTTAACAGTAACTCTGGCTCCTACAGCTCACAATGTGTAACAGTCACACGTGTTCTCTCTTAGACTTGGGAGTTCATGTCTGCTCCCATTTTTGTTTTAGTTTCTCGCTGCTCTAAAGGAACAGACACACTTACTCCACTGCTTTCTTGTAGATTTCGATGGCCTTGTCCAAGTCTCCCTCCAGCAAATGGATCTTGCCCAGCATTATGTAAGTCAGATCATGCCTGTTAAGATGTAGGGCATTGTGCAACTGGTCTTGTGCCTAACAAGATTGACAGAGTAAAGAGAACCAGATCACTACCGTGAAAGGACAATGACCTTGTATGGCTAATGTAAAGACAGAGCTCCTGCTATACTAATGTAGGAACATCACATTTCAGCAAATGCCCCACTACCCAAAAAACTAAAACATACCCAAACCGTGCTTGCTCATAGGACAGCTGGCAACATGGAGTGTCTGCCTCTAGAGCCACTTGGGAGGCTTGTACAGATTAAACTTTTTGAGTGTTTTCTGCTTTTTGATATTCACACCCATGACTCGTATTTCGTAAGTCAAAAGGGGTATCATGGTCTGCCCCAAACTCGACCCCAGCTGCACCGCTGACCAAATGCACACCCTTCCCCAGGGTGGACCTCATTTTCCTCACCAATATTTTGATGAATGAATGAATCCTCATTTATTCATTCAACATGTATTCATCGAGTGCCTGTTGCTCTAGGTACTAGTATACCAGAGCTAACGCAAGAGCTTATGTCCTCGTAGATGATGAAAAGGGCTTCGTTTAGTCCTTCACTGATTCAACAAGTATTTCTATAAATGCCAGGTACTGTATTTGCTTAGCCTGTAGGCTTTATAGTAAAATCTAAATATAATGCTTCTCCTCCATACAGGTCTGACCAAAAACCAATTCCACCTCTCCCTGGGCTCAGAATAATCCTGTGAATAGATATGTACTTACTCAGTTCAACTGAGTATTCACCCTTCACTTTCTGCCATAAATACCCATCCTAATCACTTCCTTGTAGATGCTTGAAATATCCTCTGAAGAGAGAAAGCTCCTAACCAAATATGTAACAATGAAGATCTAGATCTGCCTAGAAAACCTAAGGGACCCACTAAATATGTATATTTTATTTACATAGATATAGGTATTACTTATTTTTATGTATCTCAGAGGAGCAAAAAGTTATTCTCATACCTCAACTGCTGAGGTACAGGTTTTTTTTCATACCCCTGAGGGATTGATTAGGTTACATCAGTTTACAAATTGATATATATTAAACACTGTCAAATGGGTATCAACTAATTCAGATTCTCAGTCCTGTCAGCACTGGAGAAAGGAGAATAAAACTTCATAATCACTAAGTGGGAGCTTTATGACGGAAACTCTACCCAACCCCACTATCATTAACTTTTAGAGTTCTCTATAATTTGGTCTATCCCTCAATTAAGATATATACATTTTTTCCCTTATCTGAGTACCAGGGTAAGCGCAAATGTTTTATCTGATATAAGAGCCTTAGGCACTGTAGCCTAATCACAATGAAATATAAAAATGAAACATAAATATCTCACACGGAAAATAACCTTAAAAACAAACTCTCAGAAATCAAATCTATTTAAGATTAAAAATTCATTTCCGGGCTTCCCTGGTGGCACAGTGGTTGAGAGTCCGCCTGCCGATGCAGGGGACACGGGTTCGTGCCCTGGTCTGGGAAGATCCCACATGCCGCCGAGCGGCTAGGCCTGTGTGCCAATGGCCACTGAGTCTGCGCGTCCGGAGCCTGTGCTCTGCAACGGGAGAGGCCACAACAGTGAGAGGCCCGCATACCACCAAAAAAAAAAAAAAAAAAATTCATTTCCAATGACCTTGAGAACTAAAATCAGTTGCTACTGGAGCATAAGATAGCTCACATGGTGATAATTACACTTTTAAGACTTACAGGTCCACTTTTTGATATCTAAGTTTTATTGAACATTTGTGTTTCCATTCTAGAAAATTAAACTAGGGGGTGGAAAATAAGAAGAGAGGAAGAAAGCAATTAGATTGCCATTCCCTAATAATATTTCTAGAATTTGTCACTTTCTTGTTAAAAACAGAAAGAAAGAAAAAAAACAGATGACTAGTGACAAACGAGAATAAAAATGGGGATAAATGTATACGGCAGTTTCAATTTTTACTTCTAAAAATCTCGGCAAGCAGTAGGAATAATACAAAATGAGCAATGGCACCTCTGTAACAAGTGTACCCTCAGTGAAATCCCCAGCCAACCGCTCAGCCACCACCACCATTTCTATAAATTACCTTGTCCAACTGTTTCAGGTAAATGTAGCAAACTCCTAGGTTATGACAGATCTCCTACACACAAAAGAAAGGAAAACAACTTACTAAGTTCCACAGTAACTATTAGAGTGAAACAACAGGCGTCTAGAGATTATTACTGCTTGGCAAAATTTAAACTTTAAAACATGCACTATGGTTAATTTTTTACTTGAATCTTAAACAGATTATAAGAGATAAAAGCAGAATAAACCAGTGATATTCCTGGGTCTATTTAGTACCTTGGAGTGCATGCCCAGCCCATTCCTACACCTTTTTTCCTCTAAGGGCTGCTCACTGAACCCTCTTCTCAGAAGAGACTACCACAGCCCCTTCTCCAACCCTAAGGAGGTGTGTGTGTGTGTCAGTCAGAGTCCTTTTCCTAGGAATCTAGGAATTCACTAGGTGGTATGGACTTGGGGACTGACTGCGCCATCTGGAGGCCACTAGGATAGAATACACAGATGTAATTGGAGCCGATCTTCAGAAGACTACAGCACAGGTCAGCAAACTCTGGCCCACTGGCCAAATCCATCCTCCGCCTTTTTCTGCAAATCAAGTTGTATTGGAACACAGCCACGACCGCTTGTTATGTATCGTCTACAGTTCTTTCACGCTAGAACTTCAGAGTCAAGTAGTTGCAACAAAGACTATAAATCCACAAAGCCTAAAATATTTACTACCCTGCCCTTTACAAAAAAAGTTTGCCAACCTCTGATCTACAGAAAGAAAATAAATCAAGCAGAAATGCAGAGAAGCTACCTTGGTTGCTGACATCTTTCCAGTTCTAGTTCACTGCAAGACCAATCTGTATTTCCTGACCTTGTGTTCTGTAAAATCTCTCGAACTCCCTTATATTAAACCTCCCTTTATTTAAGGCAGCTTTAGAGAAAGGAAAATGCAAGGGTGAGAAAACTGCTCCTGGGAAACAGTAAGGACCATCTTGTTAGTAGTGGGGAGGTGGAGAAGCATATTCAGACCCAGAAGTGTCCCTCTCGGAAGAAACATGAACCTTATACGGCTCAGAGACAACAACTGGTTTAATGTTTTCCAAGTTCCCTAACATAACAACAGCAAAATAGCAATCAGTGATTCTATGCCAGATGTTTTCCATATACATTACTTTAATTTTCCCAGCAAATCTGCAACATAAGTATAACAATTCTGATTTCAGAGGTAAGAAAATGGAAGCTCAGAGAAGTCAAGTAGTTTGCCTAACTTAGGACAAAAAGTATCAGCACTGGGATTTCTTTTTCTTAGTTCTAAATCTTAAAGAATTTCAACCATATATAAATGTAGACAGAATCACCCTGTACTCATCATCCTGCTCCAACAATCATCCAATCCATACCCCCCCATCTCTCCCACTACTTTTGTAAGCAAATACCAGATAGTATCCCATTTTATCCACAAATATTTCAGTATGTATTTCTAAAGGATAAAATCTCTTTTTTTTTTAAGCTACCCACAATACCATTATCATACTTGAAAAAAAATTAGTAACTGCTGATACTGAATCATGTTCAAATTTCTGATGAATGTGTCACATTACAAAAAAATTTTTTTTTCTTCAATCACAATCCAGGGACTTCCCTGGTGGTCCAGTGGGTAAGACTCGGCACTCCCAATGCAGGGGGCCAAGGTTCGATCCCTGGTCAAGGAACTAGATCCCACGTGCATGCTGCAACTAAGAGTCCGCATGCTGCAATGAAGATTCCACATGCCGCAACTAAGACCCGGCTCAGCATGCATGCATACATACATAAACAAATTTATTTTTAAAAAATCATAATCCAAATAATTTCCACACATTGCAAAGCACTGGGATTTGAACTCAGGCCTGTCTCTAAAACTTGTATACCAGACTTCCCTGGACTTCCCAGTCCAGTGGTTAAGAATCCGCCTGCCAATGCAGGGGACAGGGGTTCGATTCCTGATCCGGAAAGATCCCACATGCCGCAGGGCAGCTAAGCCTGTGCACCACAACCACTGAGCCCGTGTTCTAGAGCCCACAAGCCACAACTACTGAGCCCATGTGCCGCAACTACTGAAGCCCGCGTGCTCTGGGGCCCACATGCTGCAATTACTGAAACCTGCGCGCCTAGAGCCCATGCTCCACAAAAGAAGCCACTGCAATGAGAAGCCCACACACTGCAACAAAGAGTAGCCCCCGCTCGCCAAAACTAGAGAAAGCCCACAAGCAGCAACGAAGACCCAGCTCAGCCAAAAAAAATTTTTTTTAAATAAAACTTGTATACCTTCCACTTCATCACCCTATAAGAATATACACAGGGAGCTGGAGAGGAGAAATGTAGCCCTACTTGTCCTTTAAATGTACTGGAAGGTAACTAACCCGTAACCTTTTTAAATCATTTCTCATAGATATTATTTGAGAAAGCAGTAGCAATATGCCTTAAACAAACTGACAACCAAGAAAATTTTTGAAATTTGAAAAGGAAACTAGAACAAATCAGAGTTAAATCCTGTCTTTCATGGGGTGAGAAGATGGAGCAGACATCCTGCAAGGGCAATTGGTACAGTAGAAAGATCACAGGCCGAAAGTGAGGAATCCTAGATTCTAGGCCTGAATTCTGGCTCTGGTTCTGCCACTACCTCACTGTGTGCCCTTCAGCAAGTCACTCCATCTCCCAAAGCCTCAGCTTCCTCATCTATCAATATGGGAAATTCTCCCTACTTAACAGCTGTTCCACAAGTCAAATGAGATCATGGCAGGAGGAATGATGATTCCCCTGCTGCGGCCAGACTGTGGAATACCCTGATGAGTCAAAGGAAGTAGGGCTACAAGGTTTACTACAGGCCACAGGCACTCATGAAGCACGTAGGGCAGAGAGTGGCTGTTTGGGGAATGACCACCTCTACTGGCACCAATGGACTGGTTATCCCAGGTGAGTCAGTAATACCAAATGAGCTCTTTCAACCAACTGGACAAACTGAAAGACATTCTCCATTCCCCCTGTCCTGTCCCTGAGCTCTCCTGTCTCACTTCCTCTCTGTCTCCATCTATGGGCTCATTTTCTCTTCAGCTCAGCCCTTCAAACTGTTTTTTCCAGGATTCCATCCTCAGCTCACTGCAGAGTGAGCTCATTCAATTTCATTGTTTTAATTATCGCCTTTAAGTTGTTGACTCCAAAATGTGTATCTCTAGCTCAGCACGCTTGAGTTTCAGGTTTCTGTATCTGCCATGTATTGGATACATCTCGATTTAGATATCCTACCAGAAGGTACAATTCATCATGTCCATAATCTTCTAAAAGACAGGACTTAACTCTGATTTGTTATCATCACCCTCTCCCAAAACTTGCTCCTCTTCCTTCCTGTATTTCCTATTCTAGTTGATTGTCCCATAAACCACCAATCCATCTTTGCATCTGCAGCCCAGTGCCTGGCACACAGACGTTCATTTGTTGAAAGAAGGACGAAGTGAATGAAACGGCAACTCAATTTTCCTTTATCTGTAGCTTTACTTTGGCCTTTGGCTATAAAATACTCAATGGCTTAAAGACTTAAACATCTCAGTCTTTAGACCTGCAGAAGAAAAGTGACTGACAAAAATAATAGTGCTGCGAGACTTCCCTGGTGGCACAGTGGTTAAGACTCCACACTCCCAGTGCAGGGGGCTGGGGTTTGATCCCTGGTCAGGGAACTAGATCCCACGTGCATGCCGCAACTAAGACTTCGCATGCCACAACTAAGGAGGCCACGTGCTGCAACTAAGGAGCTGGCAAGCTGCAACTAAGGAGCCCGCCTGCCGCAACTAAGACCCAGTGCAACCAAATGAATAAATATTTTTTTAAAAAAATAATAATGATAGTGCCATAAGAACTGCAGGGAAAACCCATGCTAGCTCTTTCTATTAATCAATCTAATCCTTCACTCTTAGATATGTCTTTCTAAGAATCATCAGATATTTTGAAAAAACCAATAGCATGAAAGAGAAGAACCAAAACAGAGGAAGAAAAAGATAATTGTGGAAAGCAGAACAGAACTTCAAAGGGTCAGAGACATGGAGAGGCTGCTGCAAGAAAAGACAAAGTTCTTAGAAATTAAAAATGTAATTACTGAAATAAAAAATATTGAACACGTAGGCTAAATAACAGAATGTGAATATAGCTAAAAACAGACGTGATGATCTGGAAGATAAGACTGAGGAAATGTCTCTGAATGTACAGCAAAGACAAGGAGGCAGAAAATATGAGAAGCAAGTTAGGAGACAAGTAGAACAGGTACAGAACACGTCTGATAAGAGTAGAAAACAGTGTGGCAAATGCTGCTGGTTATTTACCTAACATTCACTCTCTCTGTTTACCTTACCAACAGAACCCTAATTTTGTTTACAGTGACCATACATTTCCCAACCTTCCTTACAAAAGGCGTAGTTGGTGTGATGTAAGTGAAAGTCTGTTGGGGATTTCTGGGAAAATTATACTTCCTTGATGAAGGTTATTCCTTTTCTCTTTGTTGCTTCCTCTTTCTCCCTACCTAGAATGATGTGATGTTAGAGCTGCAGCAGTCATCTTATAACCATGAAGAAAAAGCCTCAGCATTGATATCGTTGGACCACCAAATCAATGTTGGCAACTACTTACCTGGATTTCTTGTTTCATAAGAAAAAAATAAACTCCTAATTTATAAAGCCAATGTTTAATAAAATGTTTTGTTGCAGTTACACACAATCCCTAACTAATACAAAGAGACAATAGAGAAGAAAAAATAATCAAAGAACTACTCAAAAAAAAAAAAAAAAACCTTGCTGACCCAAAGAAAGGCAAGGGTCTTCAAAGTGAAAGAGCCAACTGAATGTCCACAGATCAGGGGGATAAAAGAGAAAAGAAACACATCTAGACAACTATTACTGACATTTCAGAACTCCAAGCTTCTACAGGAAAGTGGGGTTATCAGCAAGAATTAGACTGGTAACAGACTGCTTATCAACAACACTGACAGCCAGAAAACTAGGCAGCAATGTCTGCTGAGTTACGAGGAAACATGATTTTTGATCTTATACCCAGCCACATCATCGATCAAGTGTGAGGATAAGATACAATTTTGGCATGTAAGAATTCAGTAATAATAACAAAAGATAGCCATATGATAAATGGAGCCATTAGCATGTCACTAATAACAAAGTTCCCTACTTACCCAATCTTTCTGGTTAAGTTTAGCTGCTTCATTATACACTTCAGTGGCAGCTTTATGTTTTCCCAGAAGAAATCTGGGGAAAAAACACATTTTCTGTGATTATTAATGCAAAGCTTTTACGAGACTACAACCCCACCAGTCCCACATCTGACTCATGCTCCAGCCAGCAGAGAATTCGGGACGCCTCTTCCCTGTAAGCTGGCTGTGCTGGTTTAGCCAGTGAGGCTGCCGTACACCAACAGCAGAAGCTCTCTTGGTAGGAACAGAGTTGGTTCCAAGGCCTTGGGCCCATTCTACACCAATTTTAGTGAAAGTCTTCTGTAATTTATTTTCTACAATGTACTACAAATGTAGACCAAAAAAGAAACAAGCCAAACTAATGACCATGTTAAACAAAAACTACCACAATTTTTCATCATGATCTATTAGGGACAGGCCCTTCTCTCCCAAACTAAGTCTCTTTCCTTGATACTGGATCATCATTCTGGAGACGCGGGAAGATCAGCCTCTATGCAAAGACAGTGCAGGTTATGAATGACAACGTAGGTAAGAAAGTGAGAGTGGGAACTCCACAGAACACTTTACTACTCTGGAGTAGTAAAGCTATTAGTACTTAACAGCTTGTAAAGACAACGGAGGTTGCCTGCATCCAGGAACCTCCAGGGCATTCACTCAACAAACACTTACTAAAAACCTACTGTGTATCTAGTATTATGCTAAGTGTTGGAACAGTAGGTGAGAAAAATTCCATGGGCTGCCAATACATCAGGGTACTTGAGGCACAAAATGTTCCTATTTATATGAGAAACATTATCGGTGTTCCCCCATCAAACTAGAATATACAGTGTTTGAAATACTCAGTTCCTTTATACTAGTTATCTCATTTTCTCAAATTTCAAAATTAATCCACACTCTTCAAAGTGAATCTATTATACCCATTAAGCAACCCTCCCTCTATGTATCCGGCTGCCAGAAGCAGCTCCAGCCTGAGAATGCACTTTACATTGTTCTCTGTCAGTGCCCTAGGGCCTCCAGGCTGCCAATACTCACAAAGATCTGGCCACCTGCTTGAGGTTATCAGCAGACTGAGGGCTGAGAACAGCACACGTCTGAAAGAGTTCTAGGGATTCTTGGATATTTCCTTCCAGGCGAAATATCAATGCTGCCAAGAAAGAGAAAACACAGAAAATAAAATCATGTTCTAGGAAGAATGGAGCCTGACATCTGAAAAATTGGAGGAGAGGGAGGTAGGAAATCATATCAAAGAAATCCTTTGGATAATTGTGTTTAATACAATCAGATATGACTTCAGATGGATTGAAACAAGCAGCAAAGTTGTTGATGAGCTAAAACCTTTTTTTTTTAAATTAATTAATTTATTTATTTTTGGCTGTGTTGGGTCTTCGTTTCTGTGCGAGGGCTTTCTCTAGTTGTGGCAGGCGGGGGCCACTCTTCATCGCAGTGCGCAGGCCTCTCACTATCGCGGCCTCTCTTGTTGCGGAGCACAGGCTCCAGACGCGCAGGCTCAGTAGTTGTGGCTCACGGGCCTAGTTGCTCCGCGGCATGTGGGATCCTCCCAGACCAGGACTCGAACCCATGTCCCCTGCATTGGCAGGCAGATTCTCAACCACTGCACCACCAGGGAAGCCCTAAAACCTTTTTTTTAAGGTATCTGGAATCTACCTATTCCTCCACTCCCAGCTTCCACCACGCAGATAATCGGGTGCCTTGTAAATTATCCCACACTCTTCACTATAAGAACATTCTTATAGCTCCTTATCAGATGCTCTATCATGATAATTCCGACATCCACCTGATAGTTTTCAGAGAGTACACCCAAATGGGGCAAATGCAATCAATAACTCAAGTCCAACAAGGAGATGCTGGCAAAGAATGCAGTAATATTTCAGACTTGGTTTTCAGTATAGCAACCAATCAGAATAATCATTTTTCAGACGAATTTACATGCTTAACTACTACCAGGCACTATAAGTCTGGAACTTGTGATATTGGGAATAAAAGAGCATTATTTGGGCTTCACTGGTGGTGCAGTAGTTAAGAATCTACCTGCCAATGCAGGGGACATGGGTTCGAGCCTTGGCCCGGGAAGATCCCACATGCCGCCGCAGAGCAATTATGCCCGTGCGCCACAACTATTGAGCCCACGTGCCTAGAGCCCGTGCTCTGCAACAAGAGAAGCCACCGCAATGAGAAGCCCACGCACCACAACAAAGAGTAGCCCCTGCTCGCCACAACTAGAGAAAGCCCACACACAGCAACAATGACCCAACATGGTCAAAAATAAAAACAAATAAATAATTTATTTTTTAAAAAAGAGCATTATTTGCCATGATGTCCTAGATATGTCAATATCTTACCAATTATGTCAGAAAATTATATATTAATCTGAAGACTACAAATACAATGAGTGGTAAACAAAACTATTCATTTACATCAAAGAGTCAAAAAGATAGTTCCTGGGAAAACTAAGGATGCTACTCTGGGCACTACAGAGTAAAATTCCAGTCAGTGGTTCCTATACTTGATTTCTGATGAATCTCATTTATTCTCTGTTTTATCCTGTATACCTCTAGGCTTCTTCCCTTCATCCTGACTCACCTTACAAAAAATCCTCAAGCTTTTCCTTATCTCTTTTAGCTTGACTACAAGGAACCCTTCCAAAAGCCTCTTCTGGACCTGAAACTGCTGCATGAGGCAGGGACCCTAACAACTGTTCTGAAAAACACTAGCCGGAAACTAGAATAGGGGTGAAGGACAGTAGCAAGTTTTTTTAAGAGAACTAGTCATTTCTGAGGTCAAATCCAGCACAATAATCATGTTCTGATTTCAAAAAACAGTAATATTGAATAAGAGATTTGTGGAACATTTACTTGAATTTAAGTATTTTGTAAGTTGTTTGCTCTTTCTCCAGAACCTAGGCAGAGTGTGCATTTCTCTGGCAAGAAGAGAAGAAATATATGTCTTACCTTGGACATAGATAGCATATTCACATAACCCCTGAGTCTCCTGAAGCTGTTCTCTGATAACATCCTGAAAAAGAAAGAAACAATACTTCTGAGTAGTGGTTAAGTGTCTTCAAGTGTTTTTAAGAAAAGGTAAACATGGACAAGGAGTACATGTAAGAAATCTACAATACTAATGATGACTAATAAAGTAGTTCATTCGGATTTTTTAAATTTATTTGACCCCTAGAATAGGCGTCAGCAAAGTACAGCCCACAGGCCAAATCCGACTCACATAGCCTATTTCTGTACAGGTCTCAAGCTAAGAGTGTTTTTTTAATTTTTAAAGGGTTATTAAAAAATAAGAGAAGATGAAGTATATGAGACAGAGATTATCTGTGGCCTGCAAAGCCTAAAATATTTACCATCTGGCCCCTTACAGAAAAAGTTCACCAACTCCTACCTACACTCTAACTAGGCAGGCTAAGAAAACTATGAAAAGATTTCCATGCACCATTATAGATGCTAGGAGCTCTCTGATGAGCAAAGTACAGGCTCTACCTTTGTCCTATGATGGGCTAAGACCAGGGAGCTATACAGCTCAGAGGGCAATCACCTGATTCTAACCTGGAGCAATCAGGGAAGGCCTTCCAGGGTAAACAGTTTCAAATCCTGTGTTAGCAAGGGATGGAGGAAAAGCTGAGGTGGCCCAGAGAGTCAGAGAGAGAAGGGTTTCAAATGCCATGCTAAAAAAGGTCGAGAGCAATGGGAAAATCGTGATAAATTTTAAGTGGGAAGTAACCAGATTCTATTTGCTCCATTTTAGGAACATTGTGGAAATAGATGGAAAGGAGGCAAGATTAGAGGCAATGTTGGCATAAGAACTCTTGTGGTTAATTTAAATAAAAATGACAGGGATTAACTAAGGCGTGGGGTGGGGGGAAGTGGACAGTGTCTTGAGATAGTAAGAGAAGGATCTCTAGAACTTGATGATTATCTGTATTAGGGAAAGTGGGTCAGAGGATTCTGACACAGACAGCTGGGTGAATGATGGTACCTATCCCCGAGACAGGGAACAGGAGAAGGAATAGGTTTGGAAAGAAGAAGATAAATTCAGCTACAGAAAAGATGAATTTGAAATGCCTGGGAAGCATTCAGTACGCATCTCTAAGATCAGGAAGAAGTGTGTGGAACAAGCAGAGAAAGGAGTCAAGGACAGAACCTAGAAATAGCCCCAACTCTTAAGAAAAAAGCAAAAGAAGAGAAGCCAAAAAAAAAAGGAAACAGAGAAAGTGGTCAATAAAGGAAAAGGGAAATAAGAAAAGGATAATATCACAGATGAAAAAAAAAAATCTTTCAAGACCCATACTGGAACATTGCTAGTTCTTTACATTGTCATAGGTACAAATGTCACAGGTATAAAAACTACAACCTTAAAAGCATTACAAAGCTCCGAATGCCAAAAACCGAGAATACCAGGGATATATTTTGCATGATGATACTATTCTCTGCCAGCAAGTATGTAATGTACATAGTAAGTTACCAAAGATACAGTTTAGAGAAAATACAAATGGTTTTAAAATATATAAAGGACCAAGCTCACCACAGTAAGAGAATTATAAAACTCAATGAAATACCATTTTTCACCTATCCAGAGATCAAACGTTAAACACTATGCCATATTGAACATCTGCTCTCCACCATGAGACCAACAAGTCCCAGAGAGTGGCTGCTCCTTCAGCCTGATCTTGAAATGAGAAGACACATGGAGCACACTTTAACCTGACCCACAGCCTGTGGTCAAACCCAGCCAACCTACAGCCAATCTGAAGGCCCATGGGTAGTAATAAGTATCTGTTGTTAGAGGCCACTGACATTTTGAGGTTGCTTCTTAAGCACCATTATCATAGCAAAAGCTAACCAATACACAAAATGCAGAGAAATGAGATTTCATACATTTTTAGTGAGAGCTAAACTGTCACACAAACTCTGAGTGACAGACACAGTTAGTTGCCTAACCAAAGCCTGCCTCTCACGTTTTCTATCATTGGCCTCTCACCTTGCATGCTTCATAATCCTTCCGGATATAGTGGAGATGTATCAACCAGTTCTGCTTCTCCAAAATAGGAAACTCTGGAGCTGGGTAGCATATTTTGACAAAACAAACAACACAGTCATTGTTAGGTTTTCTCCTTGAGCACTGTCCTCAACTAACCACAGGCATACTGTAATATCACGTTAAATTCTTCATGCTGCTGATCATAAGAATACAGTGCATCAAAAATGTGTGGATTATTAAATTAAGAGATACTTGTCCTACTATTACACATTGAATATATACTTCTGTTCAGTTTTGGTCATTTATAATGTCAGTTTCTCAACTGATAACTTGCCTGAAGAGAAAAACAGAATCATTCTTTCCCTCTTTTCCTCTCTCTCTCCTTGGTTTTAGAACGTGAATAATATGACTTTCCAAAGGATATTTCAGGAGTGTTACTAACAAAATATACATACCATAGTTAATATCACATCTGATAGATCATAGGACCAAAAATAGCTAAATACAGTCTTAGCAATAGCTCAAATGTGAAACATTATACTGTTGCCCAGGAATGAGAAGTCAACAAGGAGAAAAATATTTGAGCCACTGAAAACGATTCATGATACAGAAACCCTGAGTTACTATCTCTTTGAATTCAATTAAAATACAGGTAAAAATTCATTAAGAAATTATTTTTCTATGGTAAAAAGGAGGCCAAGTATTCACACCAACCTCAGAACAGTGGTGACCTCAAGTAAGGAAGAGGGAAGAGTAGAATTAGGAAGCAATAAAAAGGAGATTTCAACTGGTAAATGCTTTATTTATCAAAAAAGTTAAAAGCTCTAAAGTATACATGGCCAAGTGTATTTATTTATTAAATCTGGCCTGTAAGTACATAGGTGTTTGTATTTTTTATGCATTTTAATACATGCTTGAGGTAATCCCTGTTTTGTTTTGTTCTGTTTTAATGATCATTTTCTTTTTGTTGTTTTTTGTTGGCCACACCACGCAACATGCTGGATCTTAGTCCCCGACCAGAGATGGAACCTGCACCCCCTGCAGTGGCAGCGCGGAGTCTTAACCACTGGACCACCAGGGTACTTCCCTGATTTTTTAAAATGTAAAAGGAAGGGTATAGCAGAGGAAGAAAGGGAAATGATTTGTAATCATTTGTAATCGCTCTGTTCCAGAACCTTAGGTGATATATCGATGGAAAACCCAAGACTTATATGTCCATAGTATGACGGGAAGGAAAAAAAGCTTACTGTGACCCAGAATTAACATTGCAGGAACACAAAAATTAAGAATGCTGCTTACTCTTTCCCAAGAATAGGGAACAGCAACAGAATCTGTGAAGTGAAATTATGACAGGAAGTATGGATATGATTTTATATACCGGAAGAAAGAAAAAAAAGATAAAATGTTAAGCAACTAACTCTTCATCTTCTGATTACCCACATTCTCTGACTGAGACCACCCTTCTTCTAGTCAGCAAGGGCCTATGTGAGATTCTTCAATGACTTTTGTCTCCTTCCTTCTCTTCTCCCAAGCCCCAACAATCATCAGATATTAGCCGTTCATGTTTTGCCTAACTAACCACTTCCAGAATTAAATTTCCTACTAAAGATCACACAAATCACCAAGCTTAAAGATGGATGTGAGGGACTTCCCCCGGTGGTCCAGTGGGTAAGACTCCACGCTCCCAATGCAGGGGGCCCGGGTTCGATCCCTGGTCAGGGAACTAGATCCTGCATGCATGCCTCAACTAAGAGTCCACATGCCGCAACTAAAGATCCCACATACTGCAACTAAAAGATCCCACATGCTGCAAAGATTCCACATGTCGCAACTAAAACCCGGCACAGCCAAAATTAAATAACTAAATATTTTTTAAAAAAACAACAACAAGACGGATGTGAGTGGGTGTGCATGTAATCTTGGATCAAGTCTCAATTGTATGGCCTACCTCAATGTTACCTACCTTCTAAAGCAGCAGTCCCCAACCTTTTTGGCACCAGGGACCAGTTTCATGGAAGACAATTTTTCCAGAGACCAAGGGGATGGGGTGGGGGATCGTTTTGGGATGATTCAAGCGCATTACATTTACTGTGCACTTTATTTCTATTATTACTACACTGTAATACATAATGAAATAATCATACAACTTGCCATAATGCAGAAATCAGTGGGAGCCCTGAGCTTGTTGTTTTCACTTGCCACTCACTGATAGGGTTTTGATATGAGTCTGCAAGCAACTGATTTATTATGGTCTCTGTGCAGTCAAACCTCTCTGCTCATGATAATCTGTATTTGCAGCCACTAGCATCACCGTCTCAGCTCCACCTCAGATCATCACCAGGCATTAGATTCTCATAAGGAGCGCGCAGCCTAGATCCCTCACATGCGCAGTTCACAGTGCGGTTCCCACTTCCATGAGAATCTAATGCTGCCGCTGATCTGACAGGAGGCGGAGCTCAGGTGGTAATGCAAGTGATGGGGAGTGGCTGTAAATACAGATGAAGTTTCGCTCGCTCGCCCACGGCTAACCACAGGCTGCGAGGCCCAGTTCCTAATGGGCCATGGACCATTACCGGTCCATGGCCCAAGGGTTGGGGACCCCTGCTGTAAAGGGAAGGAGACAACTGAATCCTTTGAGTTTACAATATCACTTAGTATCATTGCTTCCACAACCTAAAAGAAAATTTATAAAATGCAAATTTGAGTCTTGTCTATTACAATCTTATAATAAAAGATGAGGCATTTTTTGTGTTCCATGGGTGAAGAACGGAGGAAAAAAATGTTCAATTTGTAAGGTATCTCAAGGGCCCAGAGGCTCATGAAATGGAGTACTAGGGATGAGAAGAAGGGAAAGCACCACCAAATTCAAGTGCCTAACAGCCATTTCACACTCCTGACGATACAGTTTGTCTAAAAGCTAAAAGAACTTTAGGCTCATCAAAGACTTTATAAATCATTTCAGTGCCCCATAACTGTCCTATTAACTGTGTAGTCTTGGGAAATTTAGTTTCCTCATCTATAAAATAGAGACTCATTCATTCATTCAATAAATATTCACTGAGTACCAACCACATGCCAGGCACTGGGGATACAACAACAAACAAAACTGGTAATAAGCTTTCAGGGAGCTTATAATCAGGGCAGGGGTGGGGGGTGCAGGTTCGGAGAGTGCTGGCAGAAGGGATAGATGATAATAAAATCTCCATTATTAGTGATATTCTTCTCACATTTAAATAGGAGAGTCAGGGGATAAAATACCCCACAGAGATGTGAAGATTGAATGACAATACATATAAAGAGGTTCAAGTAGTGTCTGGTACACGCTAACCCCTAAAGAAGTGTTAACTGTTGTTGCTGTTATTTTTATCATCATTATTATTAGTTATTTTCCAAAATGAGCAAGTTCTGGATACCACATAAATCCCTATGAACTCTGAATTTACACTTAGAATTTTACCTGTAAATGTGTGAGTTGAATTTCTTGTATTCCAAATCATTGCTCACTCCAATTCCCCCCTACAAACAGGGATGCTGATACTGGTTCTTATATGCTTTCACAAGTATTATGAGAATTACCTATCTGAAAGGTCCTCTAAAAAAGATAGGCATGTAAGTGCAAAGTAGAGCCTTCTCTGTTTTACAGCAGAGCAAGGTGGTCATCTCCCATGTTACACTTTAGTAGGAGTCCGTATTACCATGGACGTCAGGTGGCCAGCTGATGAGATGAAGACAAGGTAAAGCCTTTCAGTCATCACCAAGGCAGTGGGGGCAGAAGGCTGGCAACCTGGCAACAATATTCCCTTGCCCTTCTCTTCTCCTGCCCCCATTCCACTCTTTTCACCTCTTTCTTTCCTCCTCGATAAGGATGCACAAGACCTATCTTAAACAATTCTATAACTGAACAAACATGACATCACAAGAATTCTTCTGCCTTGTAATTTGCCTTAGGTGTGAAATTCTCATAGAAATAACCAAAACTCAAAACTTTACATAAAACTGATTAATGGTAGTGAAAAGCATCCTGGATATATTAATGTTGAGCAGAAAATTATTGTGCTTTGAATTTTTAGTTGAAAAATTTTCTAAAATGACTAAGGCTTTTTGTAAGTACATTGTAAATGAACTCTTCTTTGGTAAAGGATCTCTTCAGGACCAGAAGACAGGCAGCACATCAAATTTTTATATGTAGAAGTCCAATCTTGATTCAGTACCAGACTTCTATGGGACTTAGAGCAAGTTATTTGAGTCTCTGGGCCTCCATTTTCATGCCTATAATTTTCACTGGAAAATCTGAAAGTGATCATTCAATAAAATGTTAATTTCCTCATGTTATAATAGGAATTATAACACTTTTCTACCTCAATATATTATTTGAGACATCAAAAGATATAACAAATCTTGAAAAGAGTGTAAATGGAAGACATTTTTATTAGTATTGATTTGAGCTCTGTATCAGACAGGGTCTATCTAACAAGGAAACCCAGAAACCACTTGATGTAGAACAGAAGGACTTCAATGCAGTGAACAGGTGAGGGAAGAAATGAGAGGTCCAAAAGGGAACAGTGATGCAAATCAGAGGTTAGCATGGGAACAAGTCACTACCACCTCTAGGCTGAAGGAAAAAGGGAGGGAATGTATTGCTACCAGTTTCCAAGGCTGAAGTTACCTGGAGGAAGCTGAAAACAGAATGGCCTGACTGGCAGAAGCAACAAAAGAGACGCTTCCAGAAACCACCCCACTCCTCCAACTTTCCAAAGCAGAGAGAAAGAGGGGAAAGCCCTGGCTTCTCCTACTTCCTACCCTCCAATCTTTTGCCAGTTCCTCTCACTTGCTAACCCAGCCAGAAACTGCTGACACCAGAGCCTGGGAAGGAATGAAGCCCACAAGGGTCAGCTGCTCACAATACTCAGCGGAGAAGGGAAGGGTGAGGAATGGATCTGAGGGCAAACAGGCCCAGGATCAGCAGAAATACCAACTCTGCTCAGGAACATAGATGGTGATGGAGGAGGAGGAGGCAACTGGACTGAATCAGGAGTCACCCAAGGATTCACGTTAGAAAATAACTTTTTAAAAAAATATT